ATTTCTAGTCATCATACACATCTAATTCAACTAGTGATAAATCACACGAATCAGTATCCGTTTCCACTACTGCCACATCATCGGCAGTCAACACCGGTGCATCCTTGAATTGGCGAAAAAGTGCAGGCGTCGCTCCGCCGCATTTTGGTAAATCGTACATGGCCTCCTTTATCTTACTGGTCTCCTCAGTGATAGAGGCTAGGAAATGCTCAGGGGTGGATATGTTGGGCATGTTGGCTACGAAGTAGGTCTCTGCAGGAGCCCTGTACCTGACCAACATCGATGGCAAGGGGATGTGTAGGAGGGATGGTATATACCACTTAATTGCCCTTTTCCTCTCTTGAAGATACGTGAACAGAGTCAATCGGAGCTCGCGACTACCAAGTAGGGAATCTATCATAGCTTCTAGATGTTCCCACAGGTCAGGACCTAATAACAAGCGATCACGAAGTGGAAAAGGAGTGGTATCAAAGCAACCCCTCTTCCTCATCTACTCCACGCCACTATCATCCTTAAATGGCCCGAGGAGCCCCTCTAGGCGCACCTGCTAGAGCCCGAAACATGTCCAGGAACTCCACACCCCCCTCAAGGAAGGCGTCTCTCTCCGACTTGGATCGCCTCTTATTTTCAACATCCCTCGTCGCCAGGGATGCCTCCGCAGCCTACGCCAAGCTCTGCTGGCACCCACCATTCAGCGTCTACCTGATTTCTTGCAAGATTCTCCTCCGCTAGCTGCTTCATCGCTGTGAGGTTCATCGTCGCGTCATAAAGTTGATAGTCATGCCTTCGCATAGCCTCAGCAGCCTCCACTATATCAAACCTAGTACAATGTGGCCCAGCCAGGGATCGAACCCGTGCACTCCTTACCCCTTGTCGCGCACGAGGCATGCCAACTCCCCCAGATGATCCCGCGAAAAATCTCTCAAATCGAGCCGCGCTTGTTGCTTCCCCGGCAGCACCCCGCCATCCTCCACTTTGATAGTCACCCCCATCACAGTCGATGGTGTTAACTCGTCCTCCGCAGTCCCCTACAGATGAGTACTGATCCCAATAGACTGCCCCCTTTTACTTCCTTCTTGCACATTCGACAGGCCTGTTCTTTCCCGCTACCATGGACCATATAAATGCCACTATCCTCACATAGGGGGCACTCAACCATACCATCCCGCGCTGCATGCTGTGGTGGCCGCCTTAGCCCCAAGGCTTGGATGAATATAGGGCATATCTTGACGTCGGTCTTGGCCTGATGCCAATCAAAATCCCCAATTCACCGCCCCTAGCGCTCCATAACCCACCGACCTTCTTCGCTGCAGGCTCCTCCACATCCGGAATGGGCTCCTCTACATTACAACTGACCGATGGGCCTTGCGATGAGTCCTGCAGCTCTACCACATCCATTGGGATGGACAAGGGGCAGTA